TAGAAAAACCCTCGAAATTTTGACATGGAATGGCCATACATAGTTTAAATTTCATATATAAAGAAGAAGAAACCCTCAGCTTTCCATAGTGAGCATTCCAAAAGACTTATCGGCAAGACAGTGCTTTTCGCTTATGACACTAACGAGGAAACATTCTCAGGTGCCCTCTCCGATTTCATTCGTTCATACATCATTCGATAGGGAGTCTCGAGTAGGTAAAAAGCCTAAAAGGATATCGGCCGATGGCTCTATAAGACCCGGTTTTAGGGAAAACCAGTTTTTCAGAAACCCTAACAGAATAACCAAAACCTTTGTTAATGAGGCATGATTGTAGTCCGCAAAATTCTCATCAAAATGAGACATCTCCCAGCTCTACATGATCTTTCTTTGCAAAGTTATAGAATTTGCAAGAAAAGCTCTAAATGTTCATTGCCAACTCAACGCTGCAGAAACCAGAACAAATTAATTTAGGGCTTTTCTTGCAAATTCTATAATTTTGCAAAGAAAGGTCATGTAGAGCTGGGAGATGTCTCATTTTGATGAGAATTTCGCGGGCTATAATCATGTCTCATTAACAAAGGTTTTGATTATTCGGTTAGGGTTTTTTGAAAACTGGTTTTCCCGAAAACCGAGTCTTAAAGAGTCATCGGCCGATATCCTTTTAGGCTTTTTACCTACTCGAGACCCCCTATCGAATGATGTATGAACGAATGAAATCGGAGAGGGCACCTGGGAATGTTCCCTCGTAAAGACACTAAGGAGCAGATAATAAAACTTCGTGGAAGATTTCTCGGTCATTTACAAGATTTACTGTATCAAAATTTTCCTTCCGAAAGCTTTTAGATGAAAATGTTATTACTGATGCCAAAAGGTTGGTTTACAGTTTTCGAGAAATACTTGATCTGCTGAAAATCGATCCGTTGAAACGAATAAAAATCCTTAAAGCAGCCTGTGTCAATTTTCTTCAAACGTTTCATGCTTGCGGAATAACGTCACGCCCTATCTTCATATAGGTGGCAATCATTTGTTTGAGCTCGACGAGAGAGTGGATTTAGGAGCCCTCAACATGCAAAGAGTCCAGAAAGGGAATGATCTTCGGGCATGGTTATATTTTTCTTCAACAAGCGTTTCTAAAAAACCTTTATATACTATGATCCAAAAGTTATACCATATGCTTGAGATGGACTTAAGTCCTGAGCGCGGCGAAATGTTAAAGTTTATGAATACACAAGTGTATGATATCGAAGAGTAAATGTACTTTTGATCACCAAATTTTTCAGCATGAATCTCACATTTTTATATCTCAGTAAAGTATAATGTACATTCATTGAAATATTAAACAAATGAACAATATTTTTACAGTTTTATTTATATCTATTTACAAATCTAAAGCTGTGCTAACTAGGTGTTTTTTTTGGTGATTAAAAAAATCGATACTCATATCGAAGACGACGATTTTGTTTTATTGGCGGAGGAGAATGTATAAACGGATGATAAATTACTTGTTGTACAAAATGATTATGAAGCTACAACTTCCCGTAGTAACGATTCTAGCTCAGATGATGAGGTGGATGAAAATGATAAGGATGCAATTCTTCATGGTTCAATTTAAGCAATAGAAAAGTTGCGACTGCAAACCGTTTTTCTTCTTTTAAGAACAACAAAAAATCACAGCTTGAAAAGCGCATAAGCATCTGCAAAGACTTCTGTTACCTTGAGTAGATAAACGTATCAGCGACCTGAAGATAGATCTGCCCAAGGATCGATCCATCACTGGTATGTTGTCTACTTCAGCCGAACACAAAGTCTTTTGCCCGCTTAAGTCTCAAATAGGTTTGCTTCTGCGAAAGGTGATTTTCTGATATAAAATATTTTGTAAGATACAGCTCATTTTCTTATATTTTGTTTAGTATATATGATCTACGAAATACACACTCAACCGGACAATTTCAATGTAAAATTGTTTACTCAGGATATACATAATTGTTAAATGGAGACACATATGTCACCCCAAATAGATAAGATATATGTATCACATATGTGTTTGTTATACATTCGTTTTATTCGTGCATGGCCTGTAAAATAAATTAATTTTTTGGTTTGTTTTCCTTATCTGCTTGTTTTTTTTCTCTTTCTTAATTGACTATGAGCCTTTGGGAAACTCTCACATATCTCTCTCCCTCATCTCTACTTTTTATTTGGTTTTTTCCACATTAAATCTACTTGATAGTCACTCAAAAAGTTCTTTGAAAATTCATTTAGCGTTTCCATTTACATTGAAAATTAAATTTTTTTCTATATGCTCAGCACTGGTATTGGCTGCCTTATAACTCAAAAACTAAACGATACCTTTTTCTAGATAATAGTTGGGTATAGAGTACAACTTATGTACTTCAAACTGCCCGAAAAACTAGAGAAGGATACCTTCAAATTTCTTAACTTCTTAATCTGGGAAATTGATAGAATATCACTAATTTTATAATGAGTACAATCTTTCTTTTGGATAAAAGCATAAAATTTATTCTCTTCTCCGTTTCTTCCTTTATATCTCACTCAAGACCTGCGTTTCGTTCGATTTTGTATGGTGGTTCCAGAGATAGGATTCTGATGTAACGCGCCTATTCTTTTATTTTTATTTTTGTTTTTATTTTCACCAAAATACAAAGAAAAAATTTCTTTTTATTTGGTCATCTTCAGCAGTTGTACAGAAGTGTTACATTCAGGTAGAAATAAAAATCATGCATACATATAAACATTGAATAATTCTCTCTCTTATCTTTTCTTTCTTACGTTTTGAACAAGACATCTATTGCGTAAGATAAAACTAGACCTGATCGTGAGAAGCAGAAAAGAATAAAAATATAAGTACTGTACAGTGGCTTTTATATTTGTCTTAACGTATCGTCCACGGACCCGACTTACCAAAGATCAATTGTACCATGATTGTTCGCTTTTATTCTCGAGATGATTCACATAAGTTACTTTTTATTCGGAAATAGATTGAAAGAATATTTGATTCATTCCTTGCTGTTATTCGGTCCACATCTATTGTATTGTTCATGTCTTCTTATAATAACGTTGTTGTTGGGTTGTATTACTGTGCTATTGTCTCGACAGTAATCCGGCAAGCGCACCAGTTGTTATGTTTCCAAATAAAAACTGAATGGTTTTATATCTTATTTACTTTATTCAATAGTAACCATCTAACGAATTACATGCTAACACACACGCCACTACACTTAAAAAACACAGCTATTTATATACTAAATTTACATATAGTTAAACATACAAAAAACAGATGGAAGAGAGTAATCACGTCAGTCGCAAGTTTTAGGTCGAAAATTTGAAAAAACTTCCCTCTCTAGCAAATGCTTCCAGTCTTTCTTATATACAAGCGAATTTCCTTGTTTTTTGCTATCTGTTTCAAAAAAATCTTCTCTAAAACGGAACAAAATTTTTCAAAACCGATACTAAACTTTTTTCCTGCTATTATGGTGAGTATAATGATATAAAAACATTGGCTTCATCTCTTATCAAGAAAGACTTGAAGCATTTGCCCGAGAGGGCACCTTAAGAAGAGTAGAAAAAAAAAAAAGTTTTGGATATATGACGTCAGAAAGGACAAAGAATAGTCACGTTTCTAAATATATAACAACGTATGATCTATATCGTCATGGTATAATAATAAGTCACAGGAGCACGGCCTGAAATAACGGGAAGATGTGGGATCGTGCGCACCCTCCGAATGATTGAAGAAGCTACTATTATTTTGTCCATTCTATCTTGAACAAAATCTTTTTTATCTGTTTCATACTATCTTGGAGAGCAATCCTGTTGTACACACCCTAATGTTCGATCCCTATTTGTGGCTCTGCATAGGTGTTCCAGTAAAGCGCTATAAGAAATCACAAATAAAAGTTTTGTAACGATACACGCTTAACGCACTGGAAGAGCTAACGCACTAGTATGTATTGTTTATAAAAATCTTCACTTTAACGCATAGCACCCGTTAATAGCACCTTTCATGTACTAATGTATTGTATTTCTAAATGGGTTAACACGCATTACTTATTCAAAATTCAATTTAAGATATTATGATGCGTTTAAATATGTAATGCGTTAAAATACGATGGAAACAGCAGATGCATCACAATGCATGAAACTTTGACTGACATGTTGGACTGTGTATTTTGAATGACGTTTTTTCAGTGATTTAATCTTGTTTTAAGTACAACTCTGTACGAAAATATTAAGAAAAACCTGATCTCCTGCGTTATGGTGAGTGTGATGAATGTGATTGTGGAAAAGTGAGCTTCTGCAAATTATTTCATGTATTGTTCATTATATGTCAATAAGAGACGCTTTCTTTTTGATGCTGTGCAGTCTTTTTATGTTTCTATTTTATTTATCTTTTGGTTTTGCATATTCAGGTACTGATTCAAAATCGCTACTATCGTTACGACTTTATTAAAAGTGCTAATTCATCACTTGCTAGTTTTATTCATTCATACTGACAGGGCCGCAAATAGGAGCCACATATTAGGGGGGGTGTAAAAAAAATTCTCGCTCTTAGGTAGTGTAAAGTTGATAAAAAAAGTTTGTGCCAGGAATAATTGATAAAATAATAACGCCTTTTGCAATTATTCAGGGGATAAACCCCCTCCCCCTCCCCTCCACTTTTTTATTGTTTCCTTTTGCAGGAAGAATTGTACTTATTTCTCTTTCTATTCTAACTTGAAGTTTTCATCCTCATACAGATCGCTTACATTACAACGAGTTTGCCACTTAAGCTTTTAATAAAAATTATACCAAAAATATCAATGTATTAGAATGTTTTGTTTATGTTGACAGGACAGAAACGTCAAGATGTAGTACGATCGACTACATTTCTGCGTTATCTTCCTTACTGGCGACTTCTTGTTTCGTTCCGGTATCTTCTATATGAAAGAAAAATAGTCATAAAAATGAAAGTACAGTTACTTTCGTTTAAAATAAGTTGTTTATACATACTCATGAATATCTGATGATTCCTCGGTTGGTATTTTTAATCCTTTCATTATTCGTTGTGAACACTTAATAAGCTGACGAAAAAACATAAATTTATATGACACACAGAATTAGCTACTCGTTTATCTGAAACTTACATGTTCCACCTGAATCTTGAGTTGTTGAATTGATGCATCCATTGCTTCTAGTTTACTGTTCTGTATTTCAAATTTAACTGCCAAATCTTTCTCAGTAATTTTTGTTTCAATTTGACTCTCATTTAATGAAAACTTCTTTTCTTCGCTATTTGAAAATAAAAACAAAATTAATATGTATAAAAGAAAATAATTAAATTTTTTGTACACACAAAACATTACTTTGTATTCATTGATACCGATTCTGCCGATCCTAATAGCGAAGAAAAGAAGTTTTCATTAAATGAGAGTCAAATTGAAACAAAAATTA